ACATAGTCACTGTAAATAAGAGACCACAATACAATACAACAGGTTAAACCAGACACTGCCTTAATGGTCTGGGGATGTGGTTAAAAGCTGGAATGGTCTGCCTATGCTGGAGCATTGCCCTCACCATCTGAGAATGCCTACCACAAACGACAAGACATATATTTCCATTTTAGGAATGAGAAAATCGACGCTCAAAGAGGTTACGTCATTAACCTCAAACCATACCATAAAGGAGTTAAACCAGAGTTTGAACCCAGACCTGGTTGATTGCAAAACTCTGTTCTTTCCATAAGTCCTTATGACTTGGTGACTGAAGCAGAGGCAGCTTTCTGGGCACTTTCCTTCTTCCGGGGACTCAGCATGTTTAGGAGACGTTGGCCTACGGCCCTGTGTTTTGGTTATCTTGTGCTGCTCTAACAGAAATACCACCAGTGGGTGGTTTTAACAAACAGGTGTTTATTTTCTTACAGTTTAGGAGGCTAGAAGTCCGAGTTCAAAGTGCCAGCTCTAGGAGCTGGGTGAAAGCCCCTCGACCTTGGGCTTTAGCTTTGCCTCTTGCTCCGGCCCACTGGAGCTAGAGGCATCTCTTCACTCAGGCAGCTGCTGGCTGCCGAGTCTGACAAACCCAAGGTCAACAAATGAAATGGCACAGTCCCAAGGTTACAGACAACATGGCAGGTCACTGGTTCAAGTCTAGAGACAGTCTCAGGATTGGCAGGAAACACGGCAAGCTGCTGGCTGAAGACTCAGCAACATGCAAGGTCCAAGTGTGACAAAAAGCTGCAGAACATTCCTACATCTTCTCCTTATATACTGGAAGCAGACCACATCCCTAAGGCTCAGCTGCTCCAGTAGATTCCACCATGGTGTTTATTACCAGTCTCATCACGGGGAATAACTACAGCCAGCTGCCCAGCCACTCACAACCAGGCCCACAACCTTAATTACCATATCCTGCCAAACAATTCTCAGAGACCCATAGAGGATAGGTTGGGCATAAGAAAGCCTAGGGTCTCTTGCTCCAGTGAGGCTGAACCCAAACTTCCAGATTTTTCCTGAGTTCTGTTGAGAACATCACTTGTGAGGAGTGGCCCTGACTGGAAATGGGGAAGTGAGGTAGTTCTTGTGCTGGGAGACATTGCCTTCCCTACATCAATCCTCTTTCCTTCATATATTGCTTCTTATTCTCATCTCTGCTCTATGAGTTGGATAAGGCACACCATTGTCCTTTGAGTCATTCACAAACACATACATATAGGGCACCTATAATAAGCTGGTATCTTCCATTTACAGATTCTGAGCACTCAGAGAGGTCATATGGCTTGTTTTGGTGGTCACCCATGTGGTGACGGTGAAGTCAAGACTTGGACCCTGGCAGCAATGGTCCTAAAGGTGCTTAGGTGGAGGGTTAGCTTCAGGCGTTCCACTCCATCTTGGCAAGGGAGGACTGAACCCCCAGAATCTATTTTCCTTCCTGGCCTGTTTCAAGTGCACCTCTCTCTGAGGATGGGCTAACTGGCAGTTGACGTAACCACAGAAGACAAGACAGATGGTTACTAAGTAAACTAGAAGCTCCTCTCCTGCAGCTCTCCCTTCTCCTTCAACTCATTACCGTAAAGGCTGTGCTCACATTGGCCTGTTAGCTTCCATCCCCTAGAGGAGCCCAGGCATGAAGGGAGAGCAGTGAGCCAGGGTCAAGACAGGGGGCCCAGGAAGGAAGAGGTGGGTTTGGGAGAAGAATCCTCAGGCTCTGTGGAGGCAGCTGTGGTGAGAGAAAGACCTGCAGACGTAAAGGCAGATGAAACCGGTTCTGGGCGTGGCTGTAAAGCTTTGGCCAACTCATTTAGCTCCTCAGGCTAAAGGGGAAATCTTACTGGGCCTCTGTGAAGATTCAGTGGGATAATGTATGTGTGAAAGTGCACATTCCACATGTGAGTGACTCCACAGGTACTCTTTAAATAGGGCATTTGTGAAGGGAATGAAAAAGGAGAAAAAAGCTCTGGACTTCAGCTACCTGGTTGCCAATCTGGGGCATCCCACCCCAGGCTCTGGTCTCCATTTTCCATCCAGAACTCCTTCCAGAGGGTCCTTCTGAGAACTCTACCTGCTACAAAATGCAGCTCTGGAGCTTCTGTGAATGACATAAGTGTACTCTTATGAAATGTGCAGAATAGGCAAATCTACAGACACAGAAGGTAAATTGTTTGCCTAGAGCTGTCAGGGGCATGGCACATGGGGAACGACTGCTTCTAAGCATGTTGTTGTTGTGTTGTTGTTATGTGCCGTCGAGTAGGACCCGACTCATAGCGACCCCTCCTTGGGTTGCTGAGGCAGTATCGCTATGGAAGTAGATTGTCCCATCTTCCTTCCAAGGAGTGGCTGGTGGGTTTGAACCACCAGCCTTCTGGTTAGCAGTCAAGTGCCTTAGGCACTACGCTACCAGAGCTCCCGCTTCTAAGCATGGGTTTTCCTAATGGAGGATGATAAAATTCCAAAAGTAGACTGTGTTGATGTTTGCCCAACCCTGTAAATACACTAAATAAAATACTGAACTCTACACTTTGAGTAAATTATATGGCATATGCATTATATGTCCATAAAAATGATATAGTTGTGCCTGACCAGCTTCATGGTGCTGAATGGGGAAGAATGGAATGATTTGGGGGCGGGGACCTCACGATATAGGATAGGGAAACTGGAGTCCGAATTTTCTTCTTTTTGGATGATTTGTGTTTTTCCCTCAAGTGACTCCTAGCACCAAAGGCTCTCATAGTCTGATCTGCAATTTCCTTTGAAGTTTCTTGTAGAGAAAGTGAAGGCTGGCTGGCCTGGCAAACCCAGCTCTGCCGAGTGATAACAATGTCACAACCTGGGCTGTAATTTACTCTCTAATGATACTTCCCCGGACCTCTCTGTAGTTCCGCTATGGTGTGCATGATGATTTTTGTTCTATTATGTATGCTCGGAGTTATGGTTCAGAGTTTCAGGGATCTTTTCAGGTGTGTCAGGTTACTGGGCCTATGAGGAATTGGGAGGGCTAATGGAGAAAGAGCTATTGGGAAGAAGAGATGGCAGGCTGCCAGGCTGTGGGCGTAGGTGTGGAGGTTCTAGTTTCTGCTCTGAGTCTTATCTGGAAAGCATTGTAGTTATCTTTTCTTGAGCTCTTAAAGCACTTTACCTACATTTCAAAACCAAAATCAAACTCACTGCCATTGAGTCGGATCCGACCCATAGCGACCCCTCCTTGGGTTTCTGAGGCAGTATCAGTAGAGAAGTAGATTGCCCAACCTTCCTTCCAAGAGGTAGCTGGTGGGTTTGAACCGCCAGTCTTCGGGTTAGCAGTCAAATGTCTTGGGCACCACGCTACCAGAGCTCCTTTACCTACATTATCTCATAGTAATTACTCTCATTTAACAGCTGAAGAAGGCTTGTTTCAGGGAAGTGAATCCTTGGCTAGTATAAAAGTTAACGTGCTCTCCTGGTAACCAAAAGATTTGCGATTTGAATCCACCCAGAGGTTCCTCAGAAGAAAGGCCTGGCTATAGACTTGCAAAACATCAGCCACTGAAAATCTTTGGAGCATCGTTCTACTGTGACACACAGGAGGTTGCCATAAGTAAGAATCAACTCCATGGCAACCGGACAACCGGACATTAACCGAGGATGGGGCACTGAAGTGATTTTCCCAAGTTAGGCAACTAATAAGAAGTGATAAAAGCTCGGCTTTTACTAACATGCTGTCCAGCAGTACAGGCAGATAATGAAAAGTGAGGCGTGGAGTGTGACTGATAAGTGGAAGGTAAGTAGAAGTGGGATGTGCTTGTTGCCAGCCTGTTGCATTTCCAGCGATGCAGAGCGCTGGCTCCAGCTGCATCCGGCCCTGTTGGAGTCCCGCCCCTCACAGGCCGGCCGCCAGGGAGAAGCCCTTCCATTGGCCATCCGTCACCGGGCCCATGCTCATACGAGGGGAGGCAGCCAATCAGCGTGGCTCGCGTCCACCCAGCCAGCCTACGCTAGATCACGCTGTCTTCGTCCCGCCCGCGGCACGCCGGGAGTTGTAGTCTAATGACGTCTACCTGTCGACAGCGAAGGAAGACAGAGAACTACTCGACCCAGACTGCCAAGCACCGGGAGGGTTTGGTTTTTAAGGCTACCCCTCCAACAATCTGGACGAAACAAGAACCGGCATCCAGGAACAGGTGAGAGATGTCCGTGGGGCTGGGACTAGAGATTGGGTTTTGAGACCTGGCCTTTCCACTCCAGCGATACTCTGAGGCACAAGAAACCAAGCCAGTTTGCGTCGAGGTTCTTCCACTTTGGGGATCTTGTGGGTCGGACTAGCTGGTCCTCTGGGCACACGGTAACTCCTGAATTCTGCCGGTGTGCATTCCTGGTGCTCCTAGTTTGCTTGGACCTCGATTTGCCCCTCTACTGAGAACCCTCCCTCTTCCGGCTCAAGTTTCTTCTAACGGAATTGTTCCAAGGCTGTGTGGACGGTCTCAGCACCTAGTGGTTGCAGACGCCACTCTCTTCTTTTCCTGGAGCGTTGCTCAGAGCCTACGCACCCCTCTCCACCTGTCAGGGGAAATCTGGGTTCCAGCTTTGGCTCTGTCGTCGCCCAGTTATCTTCCTATCTCCCAGAACTTCAATTTGGCCTCTGTGAAATAAAGATGATTTAAGGGTCCTTCCAGCCCCTAGTTCTAGGGTACTTTACCTCTTCCTCCACCAGCCTGTGTACGCAGCTTTGAAGACATTCAGTACTAGTCGTCTTACTTTAAGTGTCAGTCTGCTGGGGACTCTTAGTCACCCCGGCCAAACTTTTTGCTTTTCACTTTTCCCTTTTTGTAAATGTCCCAAGCTCTGCCCACAAGAGGGCGGAGCATTCTGGTCCAGGAAGTAAAAGGTTGGGGTGGGGGTGACTTGGGGAGTTGCCACCGTGCATCTGCCATTGGTCCTTGCCCCTGCAGGGAGTGCTCGGTGCCCCCTCCCTATGCCACCCCCACGATGCCTCGGTCCCGCTGGCTGAGATCTGTGGGGGCCTTCCTGCTGCTAGCCCCCTGCTGGGCACCCCGGGTGAGGTGCCTGGGTCTCCTACAGCAGCCCCCCCTGGTGCATGGGTGCCCAGTCCTGGGGGCCTGGCACAGTGTCCGCCGCTGGTGCCAAGCGTGGACAGAGGAGCCTCGGTGAGTGTGGTGGAAGTGAGGGGACTTAGGGAGGGGAGCAGCCCACCAGGTTTCTGACTTGGCCTCTCTTTCCTCAGAGCACTTTGCTCCTCCTTCAGAATGAATGGAGACCAGAAACCAGATGTCTATGCCCAAGAAAAGCAGAATTTCGTTCAGCACTTCTCCCAGATTCTCAAGGTGATGACTGAGGATGAGATCGTGCATCCAGAGACAGGAGATGCTATTGCCCGGCTCAAGAAGGTAAAGGATTGGTGACTTAAGGGGAGGAGTCTCTGGTCACTGTGCATATGGGTAAGAGTTGGGTGTGGGTTTTGGGAGACTTTTGCCAGGTATGGAAGAAAACTTTTATCTGATTGACTCTGGGTGTGTCCTGAAGGAGGTGGGGCCTGGGCAGGTAGACTCATTTTGCCCATCAGACCCACCACTTAGCTCTGGTAGAAAGTCTGCTTTCCAAACTGCTCTGCATAAGGGTGGAGGATCTTGGAGGTGGAGGCTTTGAATCTGGTGAGGCTTTGACTTTGGTGAAAAAGGCATTAGTGTCCAGAAATCATAAGGTGCTACCCTGGCAGGAGCTGGGGGGAAATAGTCAAAGGTTATCCTGTCTCCTTGAGGCCTTAGTGAAGTTACTGTAGCACCAGAAACTTGCGCTGTAGGATACAAATTATTGCTGTGATATTTGAATTGCCTAATTCTTTTCCTTTTATTCTCTTGGAGTATCTAGTAAATTTTTAAAAAATAAATACTACCTGAGGGGAACCAAGGAAGAGAGGGCTTTGCCTACACTGAGATGAGGATTGAAAGAGGAGTCTTCCCAATGAATTATGTCTGGTTGGAAATAGGGCAGCAGAAGGCAAAGTGAGAGATCATGACTGAAAGAGATGCCAGTGGAGGAGTGGAGGGGAAGGGTTCCCTGACGTAGGCCGCCCAAGCTGTCCTTTGCCCTGCTGTGAAGGAGCCTTGTCTTTAATACAGTGAGGGAAGCTTTGTGATGTCCAGGTAGATAAGAGCAGCTAGCTGGGGAAGGAGGGATGAGTTCTGAGGGGAAAGTCTAAGAGAGGTTGGGGAAGGGCAGGACCTAAGAAAGAAGGATCTGAACAAACCATCCATTCCCAGAGCATGGTCAGCTTTTCTCCTGGGTTCAAGGCCTATGCTGGGCTTGGGTACAAATTAAAGGAGCCCTGGTGGCTTAGTGGTTGAGCAATTGGCTGCTAACTGAAAGGTCAGGGATGCAAACCTACCAGCTGCTCTGTGGGAGAAAGATTTGGCAGTATACTTTCATAAAGATTTACAGCCTTGGAAACCCAATGTGGTCGTTCTCCTGTAGGGTCACTGAGTCGGGATTGACTTGATGGCAAGGTTTCTTTTTTTTTTTTTTAGTTTTTGTGGAGCCTTTAAATTTACTGGGGAATACAGAGCAGAGAGAGAGAGAGACAGGGAAAACAAGCACCTGAGGCCTAGCTGGGCTCCAGGGCTTGGAGTAAGGAGCCAAGAGAATAGCAATTCCAGAGGCTTCCTAAAAGAGGAGTTGAGGTTGGGGAGGAAAAAGTGGTGGCTGGCGTGGGTGAAGGCAAGGAGAAAGCTCAGAGGTGCTACTGTATGGACCCTCACGCCCTGTCCCCCTTCCCCTGTCCCCCAAGGTCCTGGAGTACAATGTCCCTGGAGGAAAGTACAACCGAGGCTTGACAGTGCTGGCAGTGTTTCAGGAGCTGGTGGAGCCAAGGAAGCAGGATGCTGATAGTATGCAGCGGGCCCTGACCGTGGGCTGGTGTGTGGAGCTGGTAAGGGGCTGCCCTGAGAGGGAAGGTGTGGGATACCCCTGAAACTGGTTTCTGATTTGTGTTTGTGTGCTTCTATAGTGTGATTTCATCAAAATTAGGCAGGTTGAGGTACTCCAACAGCTAACAAATACGTGGACCCTGTTTTGCCATTCAAACCAAAACCAAACTCATTGCCATCGAGTTGATTTTGACTCATAGTGACCCCATTGGGTTTCTAAGGCTGTAAATCTTTATGGAAGTAGATTGCCCCATCTTCGTTCTTTGGAGCAGCTGGTGGGTTTAAACCACTGACCTTCTGGTTAGCAGCCACATGCCTTTTCCACTATGCCACCAGAGCTCCTTATGCCATTAGGTACTTATTTAAACTGTAGACCACCTGTGGGCCAGGGCCTCAGAACTGGGCAGAGAACACAGAAATGACACAGTCCTTCCAGAAGATTATTCTAAAGCAGAGACTGAAAACTGGCCACCTACTGAGAGTTTCTGAAAATGTTTTAAAATTGTTGTTCTTAGGTGTTATTCAGTCAGTTCCAACTTATAGAGACCCTATGCATAACAGAATGAAACACTGCCTGGTCCTCCGCCATCCTCACAATCCTTGCTATATTTGAGCCTATGGTTGCAGCCACTGTACTGTGTCAGTCCATCTTATTGAGAGTCTTCCTCTTTTTTGCTGACCTTTTACTTTAACAAGCATGATGTCCTTGTCTAAGGACTGGCCCCTCCTGATAACATGTCCAAAGTATGATACACAAAGTCTTACCATCCTTACATCTAAGTTCCAAGACAGATTTGTTCCTTATTCTGGCAGTCCATGGCATATTAAATATTTTCACCAACACCGTAATTCAAATGCATTAATTCATCTTCGGCCTTCCTTATTCATTGTCCAACTCTGGCATGCCTATGACACAATTGAAAAGTACCATGGCTTGGGTCAGGTGCACCTTAGTCCTCAAAGAGACATCTCTGCTCTTAAACACTTTAAAGAGGTCTTTTGCAGCAGATATGTTGTTTGATTCTTGACTGCTGCTTCCATGGGTGTCGATTGTAGATCCTAGTAAAATGAAACCCTTCAGTATTTTCTGTATGTATCATGATATTGTTTCATGATAACATGATGCTGCAGTTGGTGTTAAGAGTCACTCCTAGGGGTGGAGGAGGCTGACGGAGGCTCCTGAATGAATGTCTCTTGGAGACAATCTTAGTTGAGTAGTGATGGCTGAAACTAAATTTCCCTTGCCATTGTCCCTGGGAGAGGTGGTGGACTGGTGGCTTGTCATGAAGTCAGAGGTCAAGTGTGGACGAACGCCTCCTTCCTCAAGGACTGACTCTGGAACAAGAGCTGTGGTTGTTATGGCTCTTTCCACACTGCCCACACCTGAGCCGTAGGCAGTGCTGGGGCATTGTCTGAGCAGTACAGACCCACAGGAGGACACACCGAGACCAAGAGAGGGTGAGGATTTGAAAACTGGTATCTTAAAAAGCTGTCTAGTGAATTTACTCTGTAAATCTTCACCCAAATCAAAAAAAAAAAAAAAAAAAAAAAAAGCTGTCTAAGGAACAAAAGACAGGCATATGAGTTGAACAGTTACCTGAGGTAGATACACTCCTTGGAGAGAGCAATCATGGGGGAATAGAAGGGCTGTGTATGCACAGGGAGACAGCTTAGGGGGCAGGAGTGCATGGAGGGAAGGACCCAGGGAAAAG